ACTTCCACATTTACGCTCCGTTTCCATACAGTTAAAATGACAAATAAATGCATACTCTGAAAGCGCTCCACAATACATGTGTGATTATATTACTGGATGTTTGAAATTGAACGGGAGAATGCACGTTTTAAACATCTTATTGCACAGGTAAGTTAATCGCCGTTCTAATCTAATGCACTGCTGCACTGTAACACACACACATAGGCTACAGACAGTTGTGCGTACAGTTCATTCAGCGCAGAAATGTATTGTCAACACTCTTCTGTGATTTCTCAATAAAATAGCTTAGAAACTGAAATGTTCAAGCATATATTTCTTAATAACCAAATCCCACATCTTCACTTCTAGTAGCGAGACGCTGCCAGGTAGAATTAATTCACACATGCAATCGCTCTCACTAATGCATTCATATGAATGTAATCTTTACTGTGCTACTTTATCTGTATCTGATTTAGAACGAGCAGAAATCTGTGAGAAATATAACGTCCCAAAGACAAAAGAACTGATCAAAATGAGCTGTTATAGGAGCATTAGCCATGTGAGCAGCACTGTGTCATATGCCATAGCTGTGCACAAGGTGTTCGAGTCTCAGCTCCAGACTTATTTGTTCATTAATGACGTCATCAGAGACTTCGACTCGACTTTCATCACATAAAAGTCAACTTTAAAAAATCAGAAGTCGTTCAACCCCTACTTGAGACTTGTTCAAATCCCTCACTAATGACCTGCAGCAGGCTTTATTAAACAGACTTCAAACGCAGTCTGCAAATCTGACACATTCGCACCAGGCCTTCATATAGAGCGCAGAACATGGCTGGTGCAATATGACTCACCGGGTCAAATCTGCGAGCGAGTCTATGTGTGGCTCAAGGCAGAGAGATGCAAATATAGAAGATCTCTGCTGTAATGTCAAAGTTTGACATGCTGGTGTACACATTCAGGTACAGGACGTTCTTTGCACACAAAGCAGGCACAGACTTCCTCTGCTTCTCGTCATTAGACAGTCATTTAAAAGCGTGAAACGGTAATGGCTCATTTATTCCCGTGTGCCAGCTATTTTGTCATTCCGCTCGCTCCACGGTTATCGCAGCCGCAGCCAGGAAAACACAGACAAGAGGGAAGAAAAGGAAGGGAAAGTCAAGGGAGGTGAAACATGGGCCTTTAATCTCTCTGTTCTCTCTCAGTGCTTCCACACTAGAATATTCATGTCACTGCCGCTCTGCAGGACTCAGTGGGGTTTGGGAAAGTAGCAGTGCATTTTCCCAACAAAACACACACACGATGGTGAAGGATTTTGATGGAAGACTGGTAGAAAGCCAAGCATAAGCTTTTGCTGATAGAGAAGAGTCACATGACATTTGACCTTTGCAACTAATATGTGTCCCTGCAGCACAAAAGCAGTAAGTTAAGTCGCTGGGGTATATTTGTAGCAATAGCCAAAAATACATTGTACGATTCAAAATGATCGATTTTTCTTTTATGCCAAAAATCATTAGGATATTAAGTAAAGACCATGTTCCATGAAGATATTTTGTACATTTCTTACCGAAAATATATAAAAACGTAATTTTTGATTAGTAATATGCATTGCTAAGAACTTCATTTGAACAACTTTAAAGATGATTTTCTCAATATTTAGATTTTAAATACTGTACATTTAGTCCATTTCTATGGTTCAGTCCTTCTCAAATGTTCACTAGCTCTCTCACAGTTAAGCTTTTCAATTTCCCAACACATTGCATAAGACATTTAAATTAAAAAGACTCGCAGGGGAAATACCAGAAGTCACTTTCTGTGGCAGTACCATGGTGTAATGTCTGTATACTGTGGTACTTTGTAAACATACCATGCAACTATATTCAGTAACATGCCATGGCACTTCAGAATACAATTGGAAAATGTTGTTTTTAACAATCCACATGTCAAAGAATTTACAGTATCACCACTATATCCAAACACATGGTGCTAATTTGTTAGTGATTGCATGTTTATTATTAAAACTGATTGAAGAATGAGCATGTGGACGACTGTAAGATGTTGGACAATATTGTAAATATCTAGTGAAGCAAGCCGTGAACAGGAGGTCGTGTGGAGCGGCTTTAATAATTAAAAACTGACTCTCACACCTTGTGTTCAAACCACAGGGGTGTGAAAGACAATCAAGCCAGCAAATCCCTTATCGCATATTAACGTTCATTTCCCAGAATGCGCAGGACGGATGTGTGGTTGTTGTTATCCGGCAGGCATGTGCAAACAGAGATCAGTCTGTCTCTCTCAAACAGAAGACGAATGTGCAGAACTGAAGCATTGCATGAGTTTGCATGAGTGTTTGCATTCAGCAGCAGAGCTCAGGGCCAGGGAATGTAAATTGCACTGCTGTCCAGCGTCCACTAGAGGAGATCAGCATCTAAACACTCTTATTCCCCAGACCGGTCTGCTCATTTTTCATCCGGACTCTGACAGCATCCATTTAACGCTGTTGAGTTCTGGATGACCTGCGGATACCTGCAGACTCATAGTATCCGCACTGAGAACAGCAGCAGCAGCACACACACACACACACACACATAGTGCTGCCTGCAGTCTACAGCCACACTCACACATACACTCTCACACACACACACAGGTTTGTTTTTGTGAAAAGTGGGGACATCCCATAGGTGTAATGGTTTTTATACTGTACAGACCGTATATTCTATTGCCCTACACCAACCCTACCCCTAAACCTACCCCTCACAGGAGACTTTGTGCTATTTCAGATTTTCAATACACTCCATTCTGTGTGATTTATAAGCGTTTTGAAAAGTGGGGACATGGGGTAATGTCCTGAAAAGTCACCTTCTCCTTGTAATACCTGTCATACCTTTGTCATTATACACATTTATGTCCTCATTTGTCACAAAAATGCGCACACACACTCACACACACTGCTGCCTGCAGTCTGCAGCCACACACACACACACACACACACACACACACACACTTAAAAGGGGAATACGTTTACATGGTGAACAGGTCAAAAGGAAATGTATCCATAGGTCCGATGTATATAAAATAAACATACACACACACACACACACACACACACACATATATATATATATATATATATATATATATATATATATATATGATAATATTTGTATTGGTTTTTTAGCTGAATAATTTATTAATCATTATATATAATCATCCAATTCGCTGTATCAAGCGAATAATAATGAGAAGAACAATAATAATAATTGTATTATTATACATTTTATTATTATTGTTCGTGTTCATGCTTCAATTTGTATTAATAAATAATTATTTTAAAAGCACCATAAGGGCATTATTCTGCAGAGCTGATTAAGGTCGTCTGGTGACGGTAGCCTCAGGTTATTATAACGTAAATCCTTCAGTCTTGAGCAGGACAGTTCATTTTTATCGAGCATTATGCATCAACTCCACGTCAAAATATATCAGTTGCTGCAATATTATAATAATGTTGACAATCAAGCGGAATGCACTCACCATGAAATCCGTCCAGAGCCGCAGTTCTTCTGTTTCGAGGCAGAAATACCGCAGTGAGAGTCTCTGTCTTCCCCGCATCTGTGTGTCGGTGCTGCTGAGAATCAGTCGCTCCGCCGCAGCTCAACCAAAGACTGTATGAGACCCTCACTGTATCACTCACGCGCCGCGGAGCTCAGCTACTGTGAGACAGAGACGGGCTGATGAAACCCCGCCCACTGCGCGCGTCAGCCAATAGCAGCACGAGTCGCTCCCTCGCGTCAGGTCGCTGAGGCTTTATATTTTAAATGCATTTTATTAGTGAGTCTTTTTATTTTTAAAAGCTTAGCTTTTTTTTTTTTTTAGCTTTATCTTTAAGGCTGTACGTTTAGAACTACGTGTACTTTAAAGTTCAGTGCCAGTGAAAAAATATATACATTTAATTCGAATTTTTTTTTTAATACAAACTAAAGGCCAATCACAGTTTCTTGGTTATAAAGTAAACCCTAAAAATAACCATTAGAGAACGTTCTGTATAAATTCTCTTTAGGCTGTCGCAAAAAATATTCCAGCACCGTTCTAGCAAAGATAGTTTTTGGTTCTATAATTTTTTTTTAATTAAAAAAAAAATAAAGAAAAGAAAGAACCAATTCGGAACCACATGTTAATGTTAGGGGAATGTGTTGTTTGCAGATGCCAGTCACAGAGCTGGACTTGTTTTGAACCTGGAACATTCCTTCAAAGAGACTGAAATCACTATTTCAGACATTACATCAGTTCCTTAATGACAACCTCTTATAACATCATGTGAAAACAATCAGATCCAGCAGCATGATCTTTCATTAAAGGGACAGCTCACCCGAGAAACCTGTAAAAGTTTCTTCCTCCTGTTGAGCACAAAACAAGTCATTTTGAAGAATGTTGGAAATTAATCTTCAATGGCATTTTTTTCCCATTCTATAAGTCAATGGCAACCGTCAGCTGTTTGGTTACCAACATTCTTTAGAAGATGTTAAAGGGGTCATATGATGCGATTTCAATTGTTCCTTTCTCTTTGGAGTGTTACAAGCTCTTGGCGCATAAAGAAGATCTGTAAAGTTGCAAAGACTAAAGTCTCAAATCCAAAGAGATATTCTTTATAAAAGTTAAGAGTCAGCCTAAACGGAAACACCTCGTTCTAACACGCCCCCACATGTCTACATCACTATGTGGGAAGATTTGCATAACGCCGCATAAGGGAAAGTTGCATTTTAGCATTTTGCTAACTTGATAGTTACTTTTGAATGTTCTCTGAACCATCTGAAATTAATATTCATGTTTAAATAAGTTAGACAAACTAAAATGTTTCAGAAAAATATTCCACGAATGACGTATAAATGTTTTTGTGCTAACATTTTAAGTGAACGTTCTACTAAAATTACTGGAAGAATGTTTGGAGGAACATTCTCTGTTAGTTGGGTCCATAAAGATCTAAGAGTGAAACCATTCCAAATCTCTTCATTTTCAGAACAATTCTTTTATTTACTGAACTGATTATGGCAATCCAAAGAGTGAAGTTATACTTTTACAGTAGAGTTTATGAAAGAATCGACGCAAAACCTGTGCTTTGAATACATGACCAAACATGCGAATAGAGAAAATGTTGATTCTTTAAAACATTTAACTGGCCACTAAAATTGTGCAATCGCACATATCAGTACAAACAGTGTCAGTAGTTAAAAAAATAAAATAATTGATGAACAGAATAGAGTGCAAACAGGCAGAATTGTACATTTAGCATAGGTCAGAAATGTTATTCTAAAACAACTCAAGATTTTCAGTAAGACTAAAGATGGCTACACGAATAAAAACAATTCCAGAGACTTGGAGTGCAGATGCTGCGCGAGATTCTTAATGCGACAGAGACGAACGTGCTGCACATCTCCAGCGCCGTACACTCGATATATGTGATATCGCTCCTTCTCCTTCAGTGCCAAATCCAGCTCGTTCGCAGACATGTGGATGAAGTGTCGATCTCGCCTGACCGTCGTCTTCACCTCCACGAAGACTTCTTGCGTGCTCCCGTTATTTGCGAAGGTCAGCTTGAAGTCGCATGCACGGCCGCTCTCTCCTTTCTCGTTGAACCAGGTGATTTGACTGGGGCCGCCGTTCTCTCTCCAGTGCGTGAGGAAGGAGTGAACCAGCTGCTCTCCCCACTGTCCGATGCTGGCTGTGTCTTCTTTGTCTTTAGGCAGCACCAGGGTTTGAGGCATGGTGCAATCCAGCGGCAGATCCTCCAGCACGTCCTCCAGAGCCACGGCTTTGCTCCAGATGGCGCTGTCCAGAGTCATGGGCGGACGCTGCAGGCCTTCAGCTCCCTGGAACTGGCTCAACACCACCTCTGGGGCCTGGGCTGGATTTTGGCTTCTGGAAAGAAGTGAAATCATTTCAAAATCTATTGAAATTTGGTCGGTCAAGCGATTCATATTTTTAACCTAATTATTGCATGATGTTGATTAATTAATTGCACATCAATTTTGGCTAAGGAAATGGAAAATTCCCCCCAATCGGACATTTAAAGTCATTATTGTGTTAAATGAGATATGCGTTGAACATGTAGCTTTAGAAAGAAACATTTTAATTCAGCATTGCATAAATAATGACAATGTTTGAAATTAAATATTAAACTATGAATTCTTTTTTTTATTAAATAATCTGAAAAATTTTAATTTAATTGACACGGTCTTAATGGGTGAGTCATTTATTTAAAGTCATTATTGTGTTAAATGAGATATGCGTTGAACATGTAGCTTTAGAAAGAAACATTTTAATTCAGCATTGCATAAATAATGACAATGTTTGAAATTAAATATTAAACTATGAATTCTTTTTTTTTATTAAATAATCTGAAAAATTTTAATTTAATTGACACGGTCTTAATGGGTGAGTCATTGAATCATTCACTCAACCAATTCATTCAGTGTCTCTCTGAATGAGTCACTGAATCATTCGCTCGCTATGTTTGTTCAAAACCAAGGATTCATTCAGTAACGAATCACCGCTGTGTGTTGCTCAGTCTCAACAGTTCTGATGTGGCTTTGATTAGAACTATTTTAGTTGACAAAATTGAAACAGACAATATTGAGCTGAAAATGTAACCCAATATTTATAGAACTGTTGTATAAATCAACATCACATTTGCACTGGTGCAGATATTGAAGAAACACTGCACTCTCGCTGATGTGATATTGTTAAACTATATCATATGATGGGTCATTTTTTGCACTCGTATCTTGAATTTTAGACTCGTATAACTGCATTCTAATAGGCTTCATCACGCAGTCCATTGTCCTGCATCGTGTTAGTCAGCAACTGCATCAATGTAAGATGATGGACAGGTGCTGCATTAAATGTCTAAACACGTTTATTTTCCATAATTAATCACGCCACACTGAGGAGTCAAAACAACAGCCCTATTTGAAATGCAATAAACAAACCCAATAGTAATCACACATACTGCGGTGTTGAGTGTTCATCATCTGGCGGGTTGGTTTTGTCCACTGTAGTTTCTTCTCCTTCATCTGTAGCGGCGTTTGGTTTCACAGGCTGCCGAGGACTGACCACAGACTGGACATCTTCCCTCCACTCTGAGCAAACATGTTTAAAAACAGAGATCAGTCAAACCCCTTATACATGAACTATTTTCTTCAAGTCCCTGTGAGATTAATACTTCATTCACGTTCACGATTCTCTGATGTCAGTTAACGGTCACAACATGCAAGTAAACAGTAAAGTATTTCATTTTAGTAAATGTTTTATTATTAAGTTACAATACTAATATTTATGTCTTAATTCTTCAGTTTCAAACATTAAACCATCAAGCTTTTATTTTGGCAGTAAACTGCAGGGAGACCTGTTTAGTGGAAAAGTTTCTAAGCGCTTCTTGCTGCAAGCGTTTGTCCACAAAATGCTGAAAATTAAGTTAACATGACATTAACATTTCTTCAACTTCACTGCATGCAGAGACGGAGTTCCTGTGAAGTAGCTCACTGCACTGATCAGTTTTATTTCCATTAAATGTGCAGCCCACACACTTTTATTAGCTTTTTACTAGCAATTCCCACATGAACCCTCATTTGGGAAACTATTAATTAAATCAAACCATGATGGGGATATTTTTTGGATATTACAAAAAAAATCTCTACCTTCAAGAATCAAAAGAGCAAAATGCCAGGCCAATAGAGCTGAGCAATACTGAATATTCACTATTTTTATACGTATATACATATATGCAATGAGTATTTTAATTTTAATATCGCTTTTCAGAGCTGTCAATTTCAATCAATCATTTCAAAAGTCAGTTGATTGATCACTTAGAATATGGCATGTTTTATATAATTAAAAAGTAAAGATTTATAATTATTACTATATACATTGATATAGATGCATATAAAAGTAATTAAATATCTAGGTAAAAATACAGAAGATTTTTTTTTAAGCGTTTTAGTTGCAAATGTATTCAATCTAATTGGCAAACATTTTTGAGGTGGAAAAAAAAAAAAAACATTTTAAAGCCACTTTAAAACCAATACATAAATTTCAACACATACATATATATATTTTTTCTTTTTTAGTGGCCAGTCCTGACCTGTGGCTCGTGGCGGGACGCTGCTTGGTCTGGGACCCAGTTCATGTTGAGCTCTTGGTTCTGTGTGCAGTGGAGACTCGGTTCGCTGATGGACACTGATGTTGGACGAGCTCCTCTCGAGACCCAGAGCAGCAGGAGCAGCAGGAGGAGGCCACATCTTCATCACCTCTTCAACAGCCTGACTGCCTGACTCCACAAAACACACATGCATTATGAGCCTGATCAAAACCACAAGATATATACGATATAGCTGAGTTTACATGTGCAATTGCAACAGCCAGCGCTCTGAATATATATTCATTAGTCTCCATCCACAGTCTGTACCTGAACTGCTGCCACCTGTTTTACTGAGAGAGGCTTTCGGTGGCCAGCAAACCAGCCGGTCCTCTTTATTGTGTTGTGTCTGCATTTCCTCCTCCTGCACGTCTCCTGACGGCCGGACCAGAGACAGCACTGCAAACACAAGCAGCACAATTACAGCCGAACCGCCACATCACAAAAACTGACCCAAATAGGTCTCGCTGTACAGTGGTTATTAAAGTGTGTGTGCACCTGAGCAGAGACAGCTCTTCCCTTCGCCCTGGCAACAACTGCGCTTTCATGTCAGCGAACAAACCCCCATTAGCATATGTGCACTATGCTTGTGTGCGTGTGAGCGATGAAATGAGGGCGAGCGGCACAGATTAAACTGGAGGAGAAATCAAAGGGATCAAATGCAGCTGTGCAGACGATGCGTTCAGAGCTCTGTGAGCGAGAGCAGCTGGACTCACTGTCTGTCCCTTACCGTCGCCTCAGTTCATGCACGTGAAGAGAGATGCTTACTGATGGTTTCTGCTTTTACTTCCACCGGCGCCGGCACCTCCCATGGTTCCTCATTTGCAGGGAGTTCTCGAGCATTTTCTCTGTCCAGAAACCTCTTTAAATCAGCTTGGTTCTGAGTTACAGCAAGACAAGTCACATAACATCATGTGATGGAAGCATTTCATTGTGTTGTAATTTAATGTAAATGAATGAGGGTTGCAAAATTGTGAATCACAATAATTTTGAGATTAAAATGCCAACTACTTAATATCAGTCACAATAAGGTTTTCTTTACTTACACACACATTATATATATATATATATATAAAGAAAATGTGCATTATATTAATATATTAATTCGGCTCAATTAAATTACTAAACTACACTAATTCTAATACAAAAAACATATATTATATTAATAATATAATTTTAAGATAATTTTATTTCAAATACCCTAAATTAATGTCATCAACATTATGTTTTTGGGTAGTCATGCTACACCTTACCTTTGCCTTGTCATAAAAAGGTAATTTTATCTAATATTTTGGCCTCTCTATGATACATATTTCCTATTTTGTTTAGTTTTTTCTGCACCACATGACTTTGATTTGGTAAACATTTTTTATATTAATAAGCAATAAATTCATTTAGTGTTCTTAATTTCTTTTCTAATTTATGCATGGCTCGGGGGCACAATTAAATTACTTTCAACACCCTATTTTTTATAATTAAACAAAAGTGTTAAACTTTGAATACACCTGGCACAGCTCTTCTCTATGATCTCTGGAGTCACGATCAGATGAGTCACTTGTGCACCTGTGTGAAAACTGGCCTGACGCCCATCACAACAAATCTAGAGTGTCTATATCACACCAGGTGAGAGAAAACCCTCTATATAGCCTAATCCAACACACCAGCAACAACAATACACAGTCTAGCAATTCACTTAAGAGGCAGCATTTAGTGTTTTGAAGGCCTTTCATTTTGTCTGAGCTCTCAATCCCTAAATCTGTTTTTTGTAAACAAGGACAGAGTCACCTTGGACAAACAGCTAGCATTACTTGTGTGTATGTATGTGTGTGTGTGTGTGTGTGAACGGATATGCTGCTGTTGTTCCTCAGACGGCCTGCAGACTAATTCGAATCACATTCTGACTCTAAACCACACTCCAACGGTTCCTTCAAGGTAAATTGGAGGGGTGAGGAGTCCAAGTCGCAACATCTAGCTACTGGGGTGCCTCAGGGCTCAGTTCTTGGACCACTTCTCTTCTCTGTCTACATGGCATCACTAGGCTCTGTCATTCAGAACATGCCTTTTCATATCGCTGCTATGCTGATGACACTCAACTCTACCTCTCATACCATCCTGATGATCCGACGATAGCTGCTCGCATCTCAGCATGTCTAACAAACATTTCTTATTGGATGAAGAACCATCGCCTTCAACTCAACCATGCCAAGACAGAACTGCTTGTGGTTTCAGCCAACACAACACTTCATCACATTTGCTTCCATCTAGCTAGGTGCATCAACCATATCTCCTTCAAGGACAGCCAGGAACCTTGGAGTAATCATTGATGATCAGCTGAATTTCACAGAGTCATAGTCAATTAACCTTTATTTATATAGCGCTTTTAACAATACAGATTGTGTCAAAGCAGCGTTACAGTATTAAATGGAAAAATAGTGTGTAACAATGCAAAAGGACAACAGTAAACACAATTTTAACAATTTTCAGTTAAAGTCCGTTCATTATTGATTCAGTGATATCATCGTCCAGCTCAGTTCAGTATCTGTGCAATCAAGTTGACGATATCGCTGGCAATTAAGTGTCCCCAACTAAGCAAGCCAGAGGCAACAGTGGCAAGGAAAATCGGTGAAAGAAATGGAGAAAAAAAACCTTGGGAGAAACCAGGCTCAGTCGGGGGCCAGTTCTCCTCTGGCCAGACGAAACCAGCAGTCTATTTACAGGCTGCAGCAAAGTCAGACTGTGCAGAGGAGCCACATTGTTAGAACTGCCTGGTCCTGCAGATCAGGCCCTTTCTTTTGGAACATGCTACAAAACTCCTTGGTCAACTTCTTGTTCTGTCTAGACTGGACTAATTGCAACGCTCTCTTGGCAGGACTTTCAGCCAAACCTCAACAACTAATCCAGAATGCGGCAGATTAGTCTTTAATGAGCCGAAAAGAACACACGTCACACCTCTGTTCATCAATTTGCACTGGCTACCAATAGCTGCTCGCATAAAATTCAAGGAATTGATGTTTGCCTATAAAACCCACCACTGGCTCTGCTCCCCTTTAACTGAATTCACTACTTCAGACTTATGTGACACATAGAAGCTTGCGTTCTGCAAGTGAACGGCGCATTATAGTGCCATCTCAAAGACGCACAAAATCCCTTTCACAGACTTTTACATTAACTGTTCCCTCCTGGTTGAATGCTCGGCCCAACTCAATCCGAGCAGCTGAGTCTTAAGCCATCTTCAAGAAATGGCAAAAACACATCTCTTCCATCTAGAGTTAGACCCTCTAACTTTAGCACTCTCTATTCTAATTCTATTTTATCTATTTGTCTTCTATGTATTAATTATAAAAAAAAATACTAACTTTGACCCTCTAACACTAGCTCTAGCCATTCTATTTCTTTTCTATATACTTTTTATTTATTATATAAAAAAAATATTGCTATGTGTACTGCATTAGACTAACCGGGACTTGTCACAGCACTTATATATCGCTGCTCTTTAGTTGGTTTGATTGCTTCTATTGTCCTCATTTGTAACCCACTTTGGATAAAAGCATCTGCTAAATGATTAAATGTAAAAGTAATGTAAATGATTTTAACATTATACTCACATTTACGCATGTCACAAGGCCCTGGAGGAAGCGCTCTAGCTCTTTAGCAAAGCTCTTGTCTGTGGTGAACAGTTTCACCAGCTCTCTGCAATAATACACAGACAGATGAGTTACGAACATGAGCCTAGAGAAGCATCACATTAGGGAAGGGGCGATACCACATTTTATTTCCCATACCATACTGATACTTTCAAAGGCAAGTCAAATTGATACCGATAAAAAAATTTTTACCAGCCATGAATCTGTATGTGCATCATTTCATTAAAAACATATCTAATTGCAATTATTTAAAACAATTTTTTATTTTTTTTTGATAATTATAAAAATTGTAATAAAAAATATTCCTTTAATATTACTATACTGCAATGTATTTCATAACAACTATTTAATTTAATGAGAATAATAACAATTATTATTAGTATTATTATTTTATACAACAGTACAATTACAATACTAATATTTATGGTTGTTTTTTCTATGCTTTCAAGCGTTAAACCATAGAACGATTATTTTGGCATAAAACTGCAGGGAAACTTTCAACTTTTAGACTTAACATTTAACAGGGCTTAACTACAAATTATTAGATTATGTTTTTGTTTACACATGGTTAAAATATGGTTACTGTACTGTTAGTCATGGTAAGTTTGTGGTAAAACTTTTTTATTCTGACAGTGACTGATTTTTTTTAAACAATTGATTGAACTTTTAAAAATTACTTTAAATGCAAATAAACTGAAATTGTTCATAGTTTGAGCAATATTTAATAATCTAACCTAATCCAATCCAATCACAATTGTAAACCAATTTGAAATTTTAAATGCAACAAACCCCAAATAAAAGGCAAAATAACCCAATCTAATGGATCCATATTATGTATTCATATTGTGTGTTCAGTACTGTTTGAAGTACATTTCTTGTTAAACTAAATCTCTGGTTAAAACAAAACACACTTTAGGATTTTATTTGAGTATCGGTACTTCAGTATGGATCCACGCATCCCTACAGTGCATTTGCTGAATCTCATTGGCAGATGCTGTACCTGCAGATGTCCAGTTTGGCCGAGAGGTGATCTTTATTGATGTACAGCTCTTTTTTGTCTTTTAGGAGACATATAATATCCTCGCTCTCAAAGATCGGGTTCTCATCTGGCACCTCAAGCCGATAGTGAATATACAGCTTCCCAACCTGCAAAAAAAAAAAACCCACAAACTTTTCTGGTTACCTCCCCTGTGAAAGAACATGATGCAACAGCCTGTAATTGGTTGGGTTTGCATTCTGGAGAAAATGCCTCCAGCGTACCTGTCCAAAACTCAGCGAGCGAATGTATTTAGCAATCCCACTCTCCTTCAGCTCACTGTACACGTCATCGAAATCAGTGTTGTGGAAGATGAACCTCTGGATGTAGGGGACGAGCTGCCGCACCAGGGTCTGCACCGCGGGGCAAGGCCTGTAGCTCTCGGTCTGCGCTTCGGTGGTCACGCGCTGGGAGAGCCGCTCCACCCCGCAGATCTCCAGGAATAACTCACGGTCGCGCTCGCTGAACGCCTCCTTCTCCTGCTTGCCTGAGGACAACAGAGCCGGGAAATTGAGCTGGAAATGGCCCAGATCGTTCATAACAGAGTTAAAAATAAGCATGCATGTCGCATATAACGTCAGTGTTTCCCCATCATAACTACACATCTGCAGGTCCCACATTCAAAGCCCAGCGGGCCAATGCATGAAATAGAGAAGTTTCCATTAGGGGTGTAACATTTACATTTATTCATTTAGCAAACGCTTTTATTCAAAGCGACTTATGATTGAAACATGCAACAAATAATAATAATTTTTTTTAAATGATATATATATGTATATATACATATACACACACACATACATACATACATACAGTGGGGGAAAAAAGTATTTAGTCAGCCACCAATTGTGCAAGTTCTCCCACTTAAAAAGATGAGAGAGGCCTGTAATTTTCATCATAGGTATACCTCAACTATGAGAGACAAAATGAGAAAAAAAAATCCAGAAAATCACATTGTAGTACCGGTCAAACGTTTAAGATCAGAACGATTTTTTATGTTTTTTTACAGGAGTTTTTTATGCTCATCAAGGCTGGATTTATTTGATCAAAAATACAGGAAAAAATGTAATATTGTGAAATATTATTATGATGTAAAATAAA